ATGAGGGAGCGATGGGCAAGACGCTGCTTGCAACGGCCACTTTTTGTGTGGTGGTTATAAATACAAAACAAAGAATAGTGTGATTTCCTCTTATGAAATGGAATTTCTTTTTTCTTTTTTTAAAAAAAGAGCAAAACCTTCTCAATTAGGGTTCCTAAAATAAGACCAGGTTTGTGTTGTCAATTAAAAAAGAAAAGAGAAAACTATATTTGCCCAAAAACACTTGGCTGTTGTATACTTTCAGTTTTTCAACACAAATCAAGTTCTTGGTCCCACCTGACCCCAATGTGTGTTGAATGCTGGAGGCCTCGACTAACTGGAGTCATTTAGCCGTATGCAGCCTGTGGATGAAAGCGAAACAACTCCGCTCCCCTGGCAGAAAGTCACCTCCCACGTCTGATTTTAGCTCCTTTCTTGTATAGGGTATTGAATATGGTAATGTAAATAACACTAACCTGAGCCCCTCCCTCCCACTGTACAGCTGTCTTAAGCCCAACACTATGGAACGCCATAGAATGACCTGATAGTTTAACTGGGATATTTATCTTGCTGTGGAAATATCTTAATTAATTGCTTATGCTTGTTTAAATAAACACTTTTGTTTTAAAAACAGTAAAAGCTTTTTGTACAGGTCAGTGACTTTTCCACTGCGCTTTTGTGCAAACATTTTCAGAATTTAACCCTCCACTGTGTTTAGCCACAAGAGCACATGGTGTGGTCCTCCACCTTGGGCAAGCCTCATGGCAAAGAGCCCGGTTTTCATCAGTATTTATTATTATTATTATTTTATTTTATTATTATTATTATTTTATTATTGTTTTTGTTGTTATTTTTTGGGTGGGAGGAAACATTGGGAATTAAGACAACTGAGCTGAGCAAGTCCTCTGCAGCCTCTGAGGCACGAGATGCTTCCATAGTTTGGCTGCAGAGCTCTTTCTGGCACATTTGCTGCTGCAACAGCAGCTTCGCTCACCTGAGCTTTCCCAGTACAAATTTTCATGATGAACACATTATGTGTAAAGTCAGGTTGTACAACAGATTGCACTGCACGACACACCCGAGCAAAATGTGATTGCTGGCTGCTTCATGGTTCGGTGTGTAGTGCAAATCCAAATCATTGTGGTTAGCTAAGGGCCCCGCAGGTTGTTAAGCAATGTAACTGAATTGAATGGGATAAGTGTGGTTCAGTTCTCCAGTGCAAGTTGCTGGGCCTTCTGTGATCCCAGCTTTGCAAAGGTAGCTGGTTGTGGGGTTTTTTTGGCACTGTGAAATCTGCTTATTCTCCACCTTGCTCTGAACGCAGATACTCTTTGTGCACCATATTTCTAACCACTGTGCATCAGGCATTTGTGGCTTTCAGCAAAACTTTCTAGTGACTTGTATATTTTTAATTGGGATGTTTTAAAAGTTGTGTCTCTGAAAGTTTAATTCCTTGCTTAGAGGTGGAAGAGAAGCTCTTTGAATAAAACGTACTGGGATTCCCCCTCCCTCCCAAGCAAGTAGTTTATCAAATTAAATCTTATGAATTCATCAATTAGTCTTAAGGCAACTGCTTGGAAACACATCAGATTGTTTCTTCTATGCTGTATATATCCTAGGAATAATTTTTATTGAGTAAATAAATTGTGCTTTTGCTTATAGATTTTGCGACCGTTTTTATCTTCTGCTAATGATATACAAAGAAATGATTTTTCATTGGATATTAAAAAAATACATGAAGCACTTTCTGCTGTGCCTAGTTAAGAATTGCAGCACATTTTCTCCCTCTTCTACTGCCTCAAAAATTGGATTGTAATTCATATCAGTGTTGTTTCTGTTTCTCAAATGAATATTCTTACAAAGCATTTTAAGTGTTTTTTTTTAAATTTGAACGTGCAGTTAAATAATTGCAAACTTATTAGGACGTTTAAGTTTTAAGCTTTGATGGTAATAACTGGTAAATCTGTAGGACATTCAGAAATGTGATCTATTTGTTTCAAAACTTGCATTGAACATGGGATCTCTGCTGTTGCTTTAGTTACACCCTAATTGGATCCTTGAAGATTCAGTGAAGCTCATGATTTGATTACCTTTTTTTCCTTGGCATAAAGATGACTCCCCTCTATAGGACCCAATTTTTGCTTCTTGGTTGCTTGAGACGGCCTCAGATTGTTCAAAGGCTGTAAACTGCTACTTGCTTTCTACATCCCCTGCCCCTAATGGGGAAAGGATCATACTAGGAAGTCTTGGTTCTATGTGTAGAAAAAGCTAACAAACTTTCCATAGTTTTGACTTTTTGTTCTTTCTGCCTCCATTTTAATAAAGTAGGCATGGAAGTTTAGGCTGACTTTAGGAACTCAACAGAAGAGAATATTGGTCGCTCGGGCTGAACTGTAGGGTCCTTGATGCTCTCTGAGCTTGGTGGTTTTCTTGCAGACATTGACCCAACTAGGTAATATTATCAGTGCTAGAAGGGAGTGGGGTTTGCATTCTGTTTATGTACATTTCAGTATGAACTATTACAACTATACCGTTGTATGTAAACGGAGAGAAAACTCCACTTCCTACTAGCACTGAAGATGTTTAGGGACTTGGCCTGCATCAGTATAATTCTCTTGGTTTTGGTTGTCTTACAGTTTTCTTAAAACCTCTGTTGTACAAGCTCCCCTTAATCGTGCATCTCTTCTCACACTGAAAAGCCCAAACACTGCTATCCTTTTCTACTGTTCTTTATGGCAACATATTTAGTAACCTATTTGACCATTTTCCAATATGGCACCCCCTGAAATGTGTTGGGACTGTAGCTTCCAGAATTCCCAGCCTCAGTCTCAATCCTGTGGAAGAGGAGAGGCTGCCTTATGCCACAAAAGTCTATCAAAATTCTTACGTTAAGCGATGGTTAAAGTAACAGGCTGTGTTTGCATACAGGGGTCTCCAAACCTGGCAACTTTAAGACTTGTGGACTTCAATCAGCCATGCTGGTCTAAATTGTGCTTGAAAGACCACAGTGTGGATGGATGTGCAGAGCCTGCAGAATCCAAACTGAAACATAATGCTCTTTGTGATGTATGGTTTATCAGACTCACCTTTTGAAAATGAAAAGTCCTTTGTAAGTCACACTCAACAACTTTATGGAAATCTACAACGGAAGTGGGGTGGCCATTAACATCTAGGCTGTTTTCCTGATGACTCCGTAGTAATCAGGTTTTGCGGATGTTCTACCAAGTCTCCAAACAGATCTCTGAGGCCAACTGAAATCAAAGATGGGAACTTTTGCCACAACCCCAGGGAGCAAAACAGAGGAAGAAGTCCAAAATTCAAGGCTCTTTTTTAAAAAAATCTTCCTTTCTCAGCAAGGGTTGTTTCTTCCCTCATGATTCTGTTGACTCAGTCTCCCACTGCTATTTTTATAACTAGGGCAGATTTCCATGGCTTTGGTGAAAGCTCCTGAACAGATTTATCATTAAAAATGGGATTTCTTACCTCCAGCCCCAGCCCCTTTTGGGTGTGGGTAGGTAAATTGTTAGAAGGACCTTGCAGAAAAAGTCTGTTACTCTGAGGAAGAGTAGTGCACAAAATCCTAAGGAGCTTTCCTGAAGAACAACAATTCTGCTAGTGCTGTAAGTTATTGGGTTCTTAGGATTTTTATAGACATTTGCAAATGAGTTAATCATGGTGTATTCTATCTATTGTTGAATTGGGTAACCATCGTTTTTTTTAAATCAACATTTTGTAGCCTTCAGCTTTCCCCAGTTTGATGCCCCCAGGATCTCTGGGTAACTGGTTGTGAATTCTTGGACTATGTCAGGTTTGGAAAGACAAGGCTTCATGTCATAAAAATAATGGCATGTAGAAAATCTTGAAACCCATAATTCTTGGGCATTTTGGTCATCGTTGATGTTCACATTTTATGTAATGCTAGTAAGTCTTTAATCACAATTCTCATACATGCATCTCTTGGTGTCTGCTTAAAACATCCCAATGTACAGTTAGTCTGTCTTTACCACAATTGAGACCAGCATTTATGTTGCTAAATGAGACATTTAAGTGAGTTTTGCCCCATTTTACAACCTTTCTTGCCACAGTTGTTAAGTGAATCATTGCAGTTGTTAAGTTAGTAACACGGTTGTTAAGTGAATCTGGCTTCCCCATTGACTTTGCTTGCCAGAAAGTTGCAAAAGGGGATCACGTGACACCCCCACACTCACCCCGGAAGCTGCAACAGTCATAAGTGTGATAAATGGTCATAAGCCACTTTTTTCCAGTGCTGTTGTAACTGAACGGTCACTAAACAAACTGTTGTAAGTAAAGGCCTATCTGTACAGCCCTTTATGAGAAGAAAAGCCACTTCGGGTTTGTGAACCCAGATCAGGCCAATCGATGACCTTGCAATCTGGCTGACTGCTGATCAAGGAGCCTGTACTCTAAGCCTCCTAACCAGGT